GTCAACATTAATTATAATTTAAAGATTTAAATGTGAACATATAGCGTCAACAAATTTTTCATTATGGGTAGACATCTTTGTGATCTAATTTTGTTTATAAAAAGACATTATCTTTATTTCTTGAAAGGTATAGATGAATCGGTTTCTGATTTCTATATATATTATTCTGATAAAGTCATTGATCCTCTTAGCCCTCGAGATTTAGGCTTTCTTATGAGAATGCTTGATGTAAAATTACTTCGTAGGAGGGTTGGAGATCAAATTCATAGATATTATCAGATTTCATATGATGATCTTGAGGCTTCTCTATCAAGGATTAGCAATAGTATTCATATAGAAATTTCGATTTAAACATATAGATATTTAGATTAATACTTCTGAAAAAATATATATATTAAAACATGTGTGAAAATATTAAATTTAGCGAATTAACCCTTGCACTTTGCGTATATTCAGCTAAACTTAGTGTGAAGGACCTTGATTATAAAACCCTTGGTGAACAACTTGAGCCTAATAAAGATATTGTAGCTATTAATAGCAATTTCATTCACAAAGCTTACGAAGGTTTTGAGAACTTTATTGCTCGACCCAAGAAGTTAACAGCTAGAAAGAAAAAATTGATGGCTATGCCTCTTTTCAAAGAACGAAAAAAAGTTGGAGATGGGACTTGCTTTCAATCTTGCCTTGACATTGTTATATTAATTGATACAAAGCATTATAGAATGCGCTATTTTCCTAGGAGTGGAGATTTACATGTATTCGGGGTCATAGATGAAAATTTTCGATCTGGTGAACTTGCTGTTCAAACATTCATTAACTATCTTAAGGAATCTAATGGGCTTACTGAGTTTGAAACAGTCGAAATAATTAAAAGTAAGCCTTCATTGTTAAACTTTAAGTATCATATGATATTACCTTCTAATTTTCTCGTTGATATTTCAAGGCTTGATTCTATTCTTGCTAATGATTTGTATCCTCCTCCATTTAAAATTCTTTATAGAGCTGATCCCATTGCTTCTATTAGAAAGCTTTCTATTATATTTGAATCTAATGGAAAGAAAACTCGAGTTATGATTTGGCCTAGTGGGAAGATAAATATAATGTCTGTAACTTCATATTTTGATGCCCTCAAAATATATCACTTCTTGTGTGCAATTTTCGAATCTGAAGCTTCAAATCTGCTTGCAATTGCTCCTACTCCTGATCCCCCTCAGCCTAAAGCACCTGGTAGAAGGGGGCGAAAAAAAACTATTAATAATTATGAGATATAGATATTATTTCAATCTTGATTGCTTTCTGCTTCTATTTTTTCGATTTCCTTTATAAAATCATTGATTCTAGCAGTAGTGTAATACTTGCTCTCAGGGTTTAAATTTCGGTTCTTTATTTCATTGTATATAGGGATAATGCGCCTTCTCCATTCTGGAACCTTTTCTCCCTTATTTTTAGCATACTTCCCAGATGAAATAGCTTTAGGTCTTGGTCTCTTTTCAATATACTCGATTTCTTCTCTGACTTCTACTAGATCTCCAGCCTCAAACGGGTCTTTGCTGTCATCTAGATAAGAAATTGCTTTAGCGATATAGTTAAAAGCTTGGGTAATATAAGATAACATTTTTTTTGTTTTATTTTTATATAGAGTGCAGAAATCTTTAATTTGAAATTTTTATTAGCTGACGAGAAAATTTTTCATTCATCACATTCTATTTTTGGCTTTCTATGCAGGCTTCCTCAGTTCATAGATATTCATTACATTCATATCTATTCCTTCGTCCGCCTGTTTTTTATCAGAAAGCAGAGTAGTATAAAAACAGATTAAATCGATGTGTACAGGACCATGTGGATAT